CACACACACACACACACACACACACACACACACACACACACACACACACACACACACACACACACACACACACCAAGTCCCGCCCATCCACTGAGCTGCGTGAACAGCTCTCTGCCCTCTGCCCACTTCCCTCCACCACCGCAGCCTCGCCCTGGCTCGAGCTGTACCCCCATCTGCCCTGGAACACGCCTGCCACCTCCCTCCCCACCATCCACTCCTGCCCTTTCTCTGCAAAGCCGCTGTGATCTGAAAGCAGCTGACCCCAATGTGCATGGCTTCCTGGCTTCCCAACCAGGAAGCAACAGTCTGGGTTCCCTGTGCGAGCCACCCTAACCCTCCCTCCAGGGGCCCTGGCATGACCCTCCCGCAGCCCCTCCTTGTTACCCTCTACAAGCCACTCAAATGTCACCTTCTCACTGTCCTCGCTCCTCCCCCCACCTCCATCCTCGCAAAAGTCGCCAGTCCCACAGCCCTGGGACCCGTGTGACTTGGGGCCAGGCCTGCACCCCTGGGCTGCATGCTCCTCAGTCACAGACAAGGGCTCCCTCTCCACCCATTCCCGGCCCCGAAGCTGCACTATCATTTGCAGTCACTGCAACGATTGTCTGATTTAGAAAAAAAGACAATAAAGTGAGATCTCTACTATTTTAAGTTTGTAAATTTCAAACCTAAAACATATAACAACAGGAACTTCTTAAAAGTCTTTAACAGAGAGGAGAAAGAAGCAGCCATCGTGCTGCCCGCCTCCTGGCTGAGCTGGGGAGAGTGCGACGGCAGCGCAAGGACCCTGTCGGGCAGGGCAGTGACGGAGCAACTCAGCGGCCACGCAGCAGGAGAGGAGGTCTGCCTCCGAGGCCAGTCAGCCAGGATTGAGGGCACAGGCCCTCCAAGCCGGCACCCTCCAGAACTGGGGCTTACCAGCAAGTGAGGCAGGCCCCATGGACCTTCTGCCAGCGCTGGCATTCTGGTGCGCGGAGCAATTCCAGAGGCTACTGAACGCCAGCCAGTCATGAGGACAATGAAGACATAAATGAATGAAAGCCAGGAAACGGGACAGGAAGAGGCCGGGGTGTGGGAGAGCCTATTTTGGCCAGGGTGGTCAAGCAAGGCTTCTCTAAGGAAGTGGCATTTGAGCTGAGGCCTGAGCAAATTGGTGAACACAGCCCCATGAATGTCTGGAGGCAAAGCACGTCAGGTGGCAGGAACAGCAAGTGCAAAGGGCCTGAGGCAGGACTGCACAAGGGAGGTGGGGAGCAGCAGGGGCCACTACAGCGGAACCAGTGGGCAAGGGCCAGGGTGGTAATGCCCAGATAAGCCCTGGAGCCTGGAATGACCTGATGGGACGCTCTACTTAAAGGGTTCGTCTGCTGCCGCGCTGAGAATGGGAAGGTGGGCGAGAGATGGGCAACGGGCGAGGACGTGGCGGGATGTGCTGACGGCCTGGGTGGGGGTGAGGAAGGGAGTCCAAGATGAGCAGAAGTTTGGGCCTGAACACCTGGAAGGACAAAGCTGGGGCTTCTTGAGGCAGGGAAAGCCGTGGAGGAGGGCCACAGGCCTGCATGGGAGATGGGCAGCCTGGTTTGGGCCTTGTCGAGTTTGAGAAGCCCAGAGATGGTCCGGGTGAGGATGGTAAGGGCGCCTCCAGGGACAAGAGCCTGTGCTGGGCGCGGAAAGAGGCGAGAGGGGGGGCGTCTCTGGACAAGAGCTGACACGCATGTCCCCCCCAAGCTGAACGGCCGCCTCAGGAGGGTGGAGGGCCCCGTAGGACAGAGGCCCAAGATCCCCATGACAAACCACGGAAATGGGAGGGACGAAGGCCCTCCCTCCAGTCTGCCCTCAACAGTGTCATTTAAGAAAGAAGGCTCCTCCCCCCCGTGCCCCCCCACTCCTCCTCATCACACACTCACAGGAACCCTGCATCCAGGAGGCAGTATTCCCGCCACAGCCCACACACGGCTCCCAGCGGGGCCTGGCCCTTGGACCCCCTACCGTCACAAACGGCCCACAAGCATGTGAATCCAGGCCCGGAGGAAAGACAGAGAACATCGGCCCCCCGCTTGGCGTTTTCACTTGCTGTGCAACCCTGAGCAAGGCCCTTGCCCCCTCTGAGCCTCTCAGCTCTGCATCTGTACACAGTGGAGAGGCTCTACCACACCTCAGGTCATAGTTGGGGCCCATGGGCACTACCTAGCCCACGAATGCACTGTGTGTCCCACGCAGTGAGCTTTTTAAAAAATTTTTATTTATTTTAATTTATTTATTTTGGGCTGCACTGGGTCTCTGTTGCTGTGAGCGGGCTTTCCCTAGCTGCGGTGAGCAGGGGCTACTATTCGTTGCGGAACGCGGGCTTCTCATTGCCGTGGCTTCTCTTGTTGCGGAGCACGGGCTCTAGCCGCGCAGGCTTCAGTAGTTGTGGCGCACGGGCTCAGTAGTTGTGGCGCACGGGCTTAGTTGCTCCGCGACGTGTGGGATCTTCCCAGACCAGGGCTCGAACCCATGTCCCCTGCATTGGCAGGCGGATTCTCAACCACTGCGCCACCAGGGAAGCCCCCCACGCAGTGAGCTTTTACTTTTCAATTAGTAACCAGCACTTACAGATTGGAGATGCTCACGTGAAAATTCCAGCTTCTTACTTCTCTGGAAAATTCCTGAGCCCCAGCCACCCTGAGGTGTCATACAGCGTGTGGCCTCCCGGTTCCCCACGAAGCCTACGCCATGGACTCTCTGCTCATTCACACGTGGCTGGACGTGCTTGAGCTCTGGGTCCCCCCAGGCTCACCTCTGAACTGGGAGCCCCATGGTCATTCCCACTGTGGTCTCCAGCTGGGAAAATGGAAGTCCGGGTCCCTGCATGCTGCTCAGAATCGCCGTCAGTCTGCAGGGGGTGCGCCCACCTTCGAGAGGGATGGGGCCGGCTGGGATGTGTCTGCAGGAGGTGGCCCAGTGGCGAGGGGCTGGGTCCCTTGGGGTGGCTACCCTGGGGAAGAGCAGCCTCAGGGGCGCCTGGCACATCTCCCCAGCTGCTCAGGACGGGTTATGGCCCCTCAGGTGTGTACGGAGGGTGGAGGGCAAGAGACCTCAGCTCCACGTGGGGAAAGCTTTCTCCAGGTCAGAGTCAGACCAGGCTGCAGGTGCGGAGGGAGCTCCCCATCCCTGGAGATAAGCTAGCGGGGCTGGGAACACGCATACGAGTGAGAAGTAGGAGGGCACAATCTCTACATTGCTGGTTCTCAGATTCAAACATGCCCCTCCCGGGGGGCTCCAGCTGCTGTTTCCCACGGCCCCTGCAGGAAGTGGCCCCCTGAATGTGTGGTTTCTGCAAATCGGCCCCCCTCCAATATGAAAAGAGGAATCATGACGGGAGGGGCTGAAAAAGGGGACCTGACCTCCCTGAAGTGGGGAGCCCCGGCAGGCAGACTGTGGTGACAAAGACCCCTGAGGCTGGGCCTGAGGCTGGGTCACGGGGCGCACACTCCGAGGTAGGGGCTCATCGGGGACCCGGCAGACGCAGAGAAAGACCCCCAGGATCTCCTGACACCCACAGATGAACGAAGCTGGGTAATGCACGCACGTTAACAAGACTACGATTGTTACAGTGCCAGCTGGCCTCTGTGAGCCCTGGAGCGGACACCAGGAGAGGGGCACGTACACAAGCAGGCCACACATGTGTGCAGGGTGAGTGCCGAGCTCTCCTGCCCCGTGCATTTCCCTGAGAACTCTGCACCATGCGGCCACTGGGTATTTGTCCAGCTGGTGGAGGGGACACAGGACACGGGTACAGGCCACTAGGCCGGTGACCGGCCCCCAGACCCACTCCCTGCCCTGCCCTTCTCCACCTGGCTCTGCACCGGCAGGGACAGGGGCGCTGCCCTCCTCAGACTGCGTTCCTAATCTCCCGCAGTGCCCAGGGGCCACCACTGACAGGGGGTCAGAGGGCAGGAGAGGGGTTAGGTTATTGGTTCCCCACCTCCCTTGCTCCTTCCCTCCAGAGCAGGGGTTTGGTGATGACTCCTCCCCCTCCCCCATGGCCACAGCTCCCGCTGGAGCCCCACTAGCCTGCAGGAGGGCTCAGGTGAGGGCACGAACACATCCAGCCAACCCACAAGCCC